CAAGCAGTGCCACAAGCGACAGTTTACATTATCTACTTATGATAATGTTATTTTATATCATTAATCTTAACTTTTGTTAATGAACTTTGAAACGACCAATTTCTGTATGTATTTCTATATTTTTATAACTTGTGATATTACATAAATAAAGGGCTTTCACAAAAACATCGGGATCTTCTATAATCGCATCTGTATTGTCAAAATCTTCAAGGATTGTCAAGAAAAGAAACATTTCAAAAAGCAAAGTTTATTTACTTTAAAAGCAACCGTAGCAGACAATCATTTCTGTTAGGTCGTCCTTAGATTTTTACTTATTTTGAACAAAGTTATTTACTATATTCCAAACGATAGCAGCGTCACTTAACACATTAACTATACCTGAACATTCTGAAAAAATGTAGTTGCAGAAATGATAAGCAAACATTTCTCTTGAGAGACGTTTTAATTTGAGTTTAACGTATTCTTTAATTTCTTAAGCTAGCGTGATAACAAGGGTTCATATGAGGGTTGTTGAATAAACAAAAATACTATATTTAAACTTTGGAAATCACTGCCAGATAGCTATGAATGAAATTAAAATAAATAATAGGACGACACGAGGTCTATTATTATCTATGCTAATACTGTAGATATTTAGCCGGAAATTTATAATTGTAAATCATCATAATTTGTGATTATGTACTATATATTCCCCTGTCAAAATGAGTAATGAGGTAATTCCATCATTCGAGCGATACAGAAATTGAAAACGAAAAGGATTCATCACAATTAAACCTGCAAAGCCGATAAAATTGTAACTTGAAGTTACTTGTTTGTTTATTAAGGTTATAAATTGACGAGAAATGCATAAATCAAACAAATTGCATATTTCTATGTTATATCTCAGTCAACCTTTTTGAAAAAATAAAACTTCAAATTTTACAAAACAAAATTGCCCTCATATTACAACTCACGATTGTATGAGCTTTAAACGTCTTCCATAGCTATCAGCATGATTTGCACATATTTTATTTGAGTGTAAGTAGATATCAAATACAGACAATAAAGTTAGACTCTTATAGAAAACTAATCAACATATTCAAATTTTAAATATTTTATGTGTATAAATTAATCAAAGATGAATTTTTCTAAATATACATTTTTTACTTTTCAAGTCAGACCTTACATTATTACATCATTACATCATTACTTCAATCATTAAGTTTACATAAATATTTCAAAAATCCAAAATATTTTTTTCCTTCTTTTTAAATTTTGTATCAAAATATAATAAATTATTATTTTGTATCGACATATAAAGAAGGGAAATAATAATCACAATCTGAGTGACATTAGATATAACATAAACAACTATAAAATATTAACAAAGACGTGGAAACAACCTGAAAGTATTTAGTTCTACACTAATTTTAATACTAAAATAAAAAAAGTGATACCCAAGTGTCATATCATCACTTTACTAGCATTTGTAATGCTAGGATTATATGTTTTTAAAATGTATAAATATAATGATGAAAGTATAATTTCAATTCAAATATGTTAATAAAATAATACAGATGAAAGATATAACCACATTTTCAATTTTGTTAATATTCACGATAATTAAATCATTAATCAATACCAAACAATACATAATTATGCAAACATATTTTTCCAGATTGGAATGGAACATTCAGAACCTTTTTGTATGGGATTATTGAAACTGTTTGTGTCCGGGTTACTTTTCACAACGTTTCAATAAAATTGACATACGTATCTTCATCTTAAGTACTGTAGGAAATTGCTCAATTCACATCATAAAGCGATAACAATAGCTCGTTTAACGCAACAGGAAAACTTAACTGGGAGAAATTCAACTGAAATGGGAACCTCAAATACCATCGAGCATGTTTGTACATGTTAGGTCTGTTTAAACTATTATTGAGCATCATTTATTCACAATTTACAGATGAAAATATTTGTTCATCAGCTTAAATTACAAGATGTTAATAAATTGTTAGTTAGTTCAATATCAAATACTAAAATACTACACTAATTACAGTAATTTCAATTATAAAAACTAATCAATAAATAAATTTTCATACGAAACAAAGAGAATGATAAAATAAAAGTTCAATTTTGAGCCAGACAAGGAACACGGAAGTAACAGATGCGATTTATTTAATAAATCAGGTAACAAATATGCATTATCCGAAATTGAAAAGTGATTAAAAAAAACAACAACGTTAATGAATATACTATGAAAAGAAGATGAACCAAAACAGATGTTTCATGTATAAAGTACATTTGCATTACTCAATATATACCGGTCAATGCTATATTTGGAAATATGTGTATATTTCTAAAGTTAATATTTGCAAACACACCATAGGATTAAATTCACATATGAGACACGTAATAGTACATCTTCGTTTTATGAAACAAAAAAGTATGACGAAGCGAAAATTCAAAGCACCTTTCTTCTATTCCAAACAGATTATTGTTTTACAAAATTTTTAATGACAATCAGTAAAACACAACATTCTTTTCAACTATCCTGCATATGCCACGTATATTCGTCAGTTTCACGAAGTCCATGTTTGGCCTCGAGATTGATGTTCTTATGTTTAAAGCGAAATAAGTCAGTATATAGCCTCGAGATAAGGATAAAGTCACATTTGCCCTAGAAAGAAGTGCATATTAGACCATACATATCCATGAGATGGATCCATATGTGACAAAAAAATGAATTCATGTATAGTCAGGAGATGGGTCAGTGTACGACCATGAGATGGGTATATGTATGACTGTTAGAAAAGTCAATGTAGGACCTTGAGATGGGTTTATGTATGACCGTTAGATAAGTTCATATACAGCCATGGGACGGGTCTGTGTGTGGCCGATAATTAAGTTCATGTAGGACCATGAGATGGCTCTATGTATGAACAGAAGATAAATCTAAGTCCATGTATGGTCAAGAGACAGGTCTATGTATTGCCGTTAGATAAGTCATGTACGACCATGAGATGGCTTTATATATGAACGCAAGACAATTTATGTTCAACCAATAAATGAGTCTATGCATGACCGAAAGATACGTCCATGTATGACCATGAGAAGGACCTATGTATGACCTTAGGATAAGCGCATGTACGACCATACGAAGGGTCCATGTATGATCAGAAAACGGGTCTATTTATGATAAGTATATATGTCCATATATTTCTTATTTCGCCCGTCGATAAGAACTATTATTCGTGGTTTGTGGAAGGTATCGAACACAACTTATCAAAGTGTCTAGAAAGAACAACCAAATCCGAGTTAATATGAAAATTGCGTTTTCTCTCCTTCGCAGTTAGTCTAGGCAAAACTAGCCTATTCGCCACACCAGCATAGCTCGTCCTTCGCAAAGATTGTATAGGCAATTGTCTCTCTGAAAAGTAAGACCGAAAACTTAATGATCCTAAATTCAATAAAACGCACAGCAATATGTTAAAGATTAAATAATTAAGCATATATTTTTAATTGAAGAAACTAAGATCCACTGATGCTATCAAACTTTAAATAAACCTGTTTGCTATTTTTGAATAAAGATGTTAAACCAATGCGATTAGTATGATAAAAACATTGCAAATTATTAGATAATTATACATTTAAACAGAGAGCAAACGAACAAGTTATAAATGTATGTATAAATTTATTGCTAAGTAAGCACGTTTTATGAAGCATACTAATAAGAATAAAACAACGAATAGGCAGATGCTTGTGGTATTGTCATACTGAGTGTATTTCTTAAAGGTATTTGTCTTTGTAACATGTCTTTTTAAAAGTAAATTTGGACTCGAGGATGAATAATTTACTTTTCTAATCCGAACACTTGTCTGTGACGAGAGGGCTTAAATGTATTAACATTAAAAAATTACCATAACTTATATAAATGATTATCATAATATCATATCAAAATTTTCTGTGGAAAAAGATAAAGTACATGTACGCAACCCTCACGTGTACTTCCTTTAAAATGACTATTCAAGAACTTTACTTTTTAAATTGCAACACGCCATCCAATGTTGTTTAAAATGTAGTTGCCCTTAATATGTTATTTATTGAATTCTTACTTTAAATAATAGGTAAAATGATAGGAGACACACCTAATGGCACCTTTGGTCGCTCCGGTTTCAAAAGAGAGCCAATATCTATCTTTGATACAATACGGGGTCGGTTAAAACGTCTTCTTTGAAAACCTGAACCATAAAAAGAGCTTGATCTTGATATATATTTATTTGACCGACTTTGTACAAATATTTTCTTTTCGTAGTCAACAGCATCTTGTTCATCTGTTCTGCACTTGACACCTATAATTCAAAGAATATAGTGTTAACATTCATCTAAGTTTTGATGTGATTTTCTTTCCTTTAAATTTAGGTAACGATGCTTATTCTTTTCAAAACAAACTGTTAGATTGTCTTTTAACATTATCATCATGAACAAAGTTGTTGAAAAAATATCCTTTTGAAATAATGTTAATGTACATCTAAATGTCTAATTACTATCATTAAAGGAAGATGATCCTGAATTCCAACTGTGTATGCCTTCGTCTTCAGTTTCTTGTATTTCAGGAACTCCATTGATAGACGTTGCTTCTTCAGATATAGATGAAAATCCACTCTCAGCTTCCCTAGAAGATTCATTACTTATCTGTCTGTGAAAAATAAAAAACATTTACTAGTTAAATAATAGTCACGAAATAATTCTTATACGGACATATGCATTTGTTTGATTTTAAGTTGCGCTGACGCTGTATATACGGTGACTATCCAGCACTACGGGTGAGGAAAGATCTCGGGAGCCCCTTAGTGTATTATTTCAGACACAAAAGGGCACCTAAGTAGAACCACCAACCTTTGAGCTAGCTGCATTGCTTCATTACATGTTAGATTCCTAAGCTCTGATGGGATTCGTACCAATGACATGTGAGGCATGTCATTAGTTGTCGGCTTCTTTAACCACTTCGTCCCGGAGGGACCTAACAAAACAGATAAAGTAGTTCTGTGTAGCAATATCGCATATTTGATTGCTATGCTGCTGCTTGTGATGTCAGAGCAGGTACCCGATGTAACTTAATATATCATATACATGTTGACTCATTTATAAATAAAATATCAGTCGTTAAGAAATCAAAAGCATACCTTTGAAATGTTTTATAGGGTTTTTCGTCCCTGAGTTCAAAGTTTTTCAAACTTGGTTCCGTCTTGTCTTCATAAATATCTAGCGAAACATAATGCGCTCCATCTAAATCAAAGCACTTTATGTCTTGACCTACAACTTTGAAAACAATTTTTCGTCACATTATTTTTAGATCAAACGTTCGTTATCAAATATAGAAAAAGAAAACAATACGTATTTGTATTGACACTTTCGAAAGTCTTTTTCCTAATATTATGCACATGAATATTGTTTTGGTATGTATGACATAAACAAATTAACAAATGTCAGCAGATATCAATATTTGTAGATATACTTACATTTAAAGTCTGTCAAGTCAAAGTGTATTTCCATCTGGCTATGAAATACGCATTTTTCTTCATATGTTTGATGTGACAGTCTAGGACATTTATACTCTTTTGATAGAGAGCCTGAAATACAAATATTTGTTTGAGAACTATAGTCTTAATTGTGGTCATATTAGCCATTACAAGAGTGTGCTCAATCAAGATTTATTCTAATAAAACACCGAGTGATGTTTTAAAATTCATTAAAAAAATATTTGTTCAAAAACCGATATTAACATTGAGTATTAAATTTCAAGTACCTGCTTTTATTTCATCGACGATGCGTTCATAACCACTTCTTCGCATTGCTATCAGCACTTCATCCATAGTGTCAACGGACAATCTATTAATAAAATACTGTGCTCGTTCTCGGCGACTTGTCACTTCTTCAAAATCATCAAAACGTAATTTTCGTGCTGTCACAATAGATATCCTTTGTTTCAAATGAAGAGGATCAATTTCTTCAACAATATGATCGTTCATAATATTAACAGCTTGGAGATCTAGATCAAATAATACAAAGTCATTTAAAAAGAAAAAAAGATAAGTATTCAAAAAAGATATTGAACCGTAGAACATGAATTTTAAAAGTCATGAGAAATTTTAAAATGAATATTGCAATAAAAGATTGTAAAATGTTAACTTAAGATAAATAGAAAAAAAAAATAAAAGTTCAGTAACTTACCTCTTCCCGAATTCTCTGCTGTGTTTTCCCAGACACAATCACACCCCAAATGTTTTTTGTGATTCTTTTAGCTTATTTAAAAACCACGGATACGTTTTTCCTCTCTAAGAAACGGGAAAAAAACCGACCCTTTCTTCTCCAACCTTGATTCAAAAAGTTCAGTTTATTAACTTGTTTGAAGGTGTTTGCTTCTTTTTTGAAAAACGACCAAAAATTAAAAATCTTATTCAAACTCAGTCCATAAGATAATCTTCGTGCTTCCATAGACTTCTTTGTTCTAACGGCATCATCCTTGATTTGGTCACTAAAATGATTGAACTATTCCAGATTAAATGTTTTTACATACTTTGAATATTTCTGTCATTAATAAAAGTATTTAACATTTTTTATTTCGTTAGTTAAACAAAAAATATAGAAAAAAAACTATGTAAATGTACGAGGGCATACAAAAGAGACCCGGCTATTAATCTGTATAGAAGCTCCGTTTATAAATTCTTTCATAATCAGATAGATGAACAAAAAATCACTTAATTGGTGTAAGACTTAAAAGGAATACGTCTCCGTAGTGCAGTTATTGTCTGAGACATAGTGTTCAGTTTGAAATAGTATTTATTGATTTTAGTTTTACTGATCATTGTTACATCATTCTTGCTTAGATGATATACGAGGGCAATGGCATAAGAGTCATTTCCCCTTTCAAAAGTTATCAATTTAACGGATGTTCATAGTAATTGCCATAAATCATAAGTAAGAATATTTATATATAAGAATTACAAGAACAATAAGAGATCATAAACCAACCTAGTAATATTGTCTTGATAACATTAGGACTCATAGAACTCTGTATGTGTTTTTGTAAGATACAAAAATATATTTTCGGAGTATCCCTTTGAAGAAGGTAATCCAATAGATAGCCGATCCCCTTTTTTTAGGGACTGATCGCCACATGGCAATACTCAACTGTCATACCCAGGTAGTTTAAGTTGGCACATTTTTTCCAAACATCATCAATATCTTGTATGTTTCTTGAATCAGATTTGTAGTTAAGAGTATGCTTGTTCCGATTTAGTGTGCAAGACAGTCTGAAAAAGCAATTGATTTAATAGTTTTTTATTTAGAGATATCAAAATTTCAAAATATTACATTATCAATATCAACATAGTTTTTGGTGATGAATTTGCTATATCACAAGATCGTTGATATTACCTTAAAAACTGTAACATACCAGATGAACGTCTTTACAATTGACAAAAATAGAGCAGATCACATCTACCATATCTATTCTGTACATGAAAAATAAGCTGCTAAAATCTTTACTTACCATGTTCTTGTTTGCGCACTTTTATTTTTCCCCTTTATATACAAGAATTTTTATTTGCATCTTATGTCCCTTCGCCATTCTCATTTTTTCAAGTCTTCTTTATCAAGAAGTGAATTATCCATTGCTTTGCCTGCCATCTTCACATGCTTTTTGATAATTTCGAGAAAAAGTGAGTCAGAACCTTTCGTCCTATTGGATTCAACTGAGGCAATTTTTAATTTTTAAACAAAACTGCATCTACATTTCCTCGATCATGTTTCGAGCCAGTTTTCATATTTAGATTGGTCGGAGTAGAAATTACGGACACAGTTGCGTTCTATCTGCCGAAAATCACAATTTCCTCTTTTTCCTTTAAGATGACATCTCACTTGCACCAATGAATCAAGCTTTACTAGCGGCACTAAAGTGAGGATAAAATTGCAAAATACTGTTATAAATGTAAAATGTATGTACAGTGATGTAGATGTATTTACAAAGAACAACATTCATGCAAAGCAAAAAACAAGAGATATCATTAAAAATATGATTAAAATTACCGTTTGAAGGGTTCCGATGTGATTTATTCTCGTATTCTTCAAATACTTTCGGATAAACATTGATCATTGGCAGAATAAGCTTTCTAAGACGAATCTCATTATTTGCAGAGCTGAACGCCAGTTTCACTTTATTCATATAAAATGAAATCCTGTCCCTCCTAAATGGATGTTGTGATATGTCCTCATGTTCGTCAAAAGTTATAGCCCCCTCAGATATAAGATCATCAATGAAATTTTTAGGGTCAACGTTTTCAAAAATACCACTCTCCATTTCGTGAATGAAACCTTTCAATTGTGCATTTGGAATAGTGACTCTTACATTTAGTTCTGTAACAATATCAACAGATAGAAAAGTAATGAACGGGTTACAAAAAATACATGTATATGACTTTTTTATGCAACAAAACTTCACAACAAAATAGATACTTTTTTCTCCAAAAGTATAATTATATGATATATTTAATATTTTATGAACTACATTATGATACACAAACAAAAGAGTGATGAAAAGACAGGGGAAAAAACATCTCGATAAATTAAATATTTCCTTTGGAACAATGCTTATTTCGAAACCTGAAAAAGGTTCTGTTATTTTGTCTACTACATAGCTTTGGTTGGTGCGTATAAGAGACTTCTCAAAATGCTTCAAAATCTGATCGTTGTTCCATTTTGCAATATTATACACATGCTTCACAAGAATATCAACCCTCCTTCTTCTGTTTGTAGCTGCATTACACTTCTCCAATATTTCGTCGTCTATTGCTTCCAATTCATACAGATAGTCTTCAACTTCCTTTGGATCTATCTCAGACTTGAGAAATTTGTAGTGAACGCAGAGTGCCTCGATTGTAATTTTCTGAGAGGAAGATATGTAAGTTTGAATATAGAAATCAACCCTAGATTCAATTTGAAATGTATTGTTTTATTTAAAAAACGCAAAAGTCTTCACCAGGTATATCTGTTTACAGGAATTGTTTTAAATGAAACAGGCAAAGAAACATAGCAATGAAAGTTTAGTCGTTAGGACTTGAAGATAAAAAGTAACTGCCGTTGTATAAGCGTATATGTTAAATGTTTTTATTCCATCTTTGCATGATCAATGTTTGGAAGCAGAAACCAAATCAGATACTTCAATGTTAATAAAAATGTCATGAAATGGCAAAAGTAAAGAAGGGTATTGAAACTAACAAAAGAATACCTTCCTATGGATGAATTCAGATTTCATTGTTATATAATAAATTTAATTCAAACTTTTGCGTCTTATATCTACCTACATTCTTTTTGTATGGTGAGTCAAAGGTATTTGAAGAGTCCAGTTCAGACAAATAATCTGAAATAATGATTGGTTATTATGCTATTATTATCATAAACTGTAAAATGCAATGCCATAAACTGTAGACACAATTCTGCTTTTATATCTAAACGATCCTTTACTACGAACTTCTCAATTTATTAAGTAATCAATAATGCATTTTTGTACAGTAAAATTGAAATGAATTAAAAATTCTTCAAATGTCATTTTATAAGTGTTTACTTACCACCATGAGATGTACCATTGCGAGATGAATAACCACTGTCGGCTGAAAAATATGTTATCAAAGCTAATGCTATTTGTAAACATTTAAAGGGTGTAAAGCGGTAGCTAAAATTAATAATTCTATACTACAAAAAATCAAATATTATATGGTTATGTTATTTCTATACCCAGTGAGATTTTTAACCCAAATATCTTTATTTATTATATACCTATAAATTTTCTCCCTAAAATACATACAAATCTTGAAGCGCAAATACGCTTCAACGGATAGAAATTTCCGTGTTATGTTATTGACATATACGGTACCATATATGGAAGTGCCGGACTATTTTTGACGTTCGTTCCGATCTTAGCTTTGTATAACGTTGCATTTGGAAACGGGAACCAAAATTATTACAGGCGTGGCCGGTTTCGCAAAAATTACGTATTCATCCGTTTATCGTGAATTTATTTCTTGACAACTACATTTCATTTTCTGAATAAGACGAAAATGTATGTAATTAAAGAAAAATTATGTTGTAGTAGCTTTCTGAGGCTTTGTATTTTTCTACTCGCAACGTTGGAAAATTGATTGATTGAGAAATTAATTTTCAACCGCTGCTCGTAGCAAAATACAAAGCCTCAGAAAGCTGCTTCAACATAATATTCCGTATGTCTTCGTTTAACGCACATGGACTATATGGGGTATGAGAATACAACGTCCCTGACAATATATTTTACTGCTAATTTCAGAAGATTTTGCGATAATTTCTTTCATTTACTCAATGTAAAATGTTAACCAGTTTACAAAGAAATATTTTACCCATTACATGCTAACAAATATAGCGTTATATACTTGAATTTAATCACTATTGATAGCTTTTATGAGCACGTCTTCTTGAATAACATTACCAAATTAACATTCAGAAGCAGTTGGTTCCGTAAATACCAAATTAAAATCAGATCATCACTTGCGAATAGTAGCGGAGCGCCAGTTATGATATGATCTTATTGAGATTTACACTTCCTCAATAGTGACATGAATAGTAATATATTCGTTCTTTTTTCTAAATGATTTTCAATTATTATTTGTATACATTTGATAACTACAAGGCATTTTAGCTGACTTACGGTGATATTATGTATTACATACCATTGCGATTGTAGCGGTCTGAGCTTGGCGCATAATTTGTGATTTGATGTTGTTGTTCTTGACTAAGAAGTCCTGACTGTACATAAGGCAATCTAAAAGAAGAACGATCGTTTCGTATCATTTCAAATTTAAATCCATACACAATGAAGTATATACATTTAAAAAGGTGATTTGATATGAAAATGGTTAGTATGTTTCTCATACGGTTCCACCGGCTTAATTAATTACTATGTGTACGTACATTTCTAAAAAAGTAAGCATGATTGTAAACGTTTTTTTTCATGTATCTGTTTAAAAGTTTAAAAGCTGACAGTACTTAAATGCTTATTGGACGCTATCCCCAATAATCTTTAAACAAGCTAAACGAAAGAATGTACGATAAAAAAACCCACAAAAAAAACAAAACAAAAACATGATCCAGTACAAGTTAGTAACATGGAGAGGTCAACTGTTGGATGAAGGCATAAAGGGATAAATTTATAAACGTTGTGTCTGAAGGTTTCCAATATAAACATTGTATCTTTATGTTACTGCATACACTTTTATTAAGAAACTAAATTATTTCAATCGGCCAGAAATACTCAAATTTGTAATATCTTACGCTTACATTGCCGTTAAATCTCTTACACTTTCCATTGTGACCTTCACATCAGTCTTTACCAGACATCATCTATTGTAACAAAACAAATAAGATTAATGTTAAACGGCATGAGCGTTCATTTTTAATAAGAAACTAATTGTTTTCTGGAATGCGACGTGTTTTATCGACTTATCTGTAACTTCTGCCTTTCTTTCTAATTTTGGAAAACATTACAACAAGATATACGTGTCATCTGATAATAGCCTTTAAATGTAAAATTAACTAAAACGAATCTTTTCTTCATATTAAACATTAGAACAAAGAATTTATATCAAACAGTTTTGTAAGGTATTAAGAAAATGTTTTATGTGTAGAAAAGCAAATTGTTGAGATATTATAAGTAGAAACCGATGTAGACAATTTCTAAAGTAATAACAAGTGGATAAAAATGCTCTAATTAAAAATAAAATCACACATACGTTTTTTAATTTTAACGTTACATATTAAGTATATATCAATTTTTCCTTTTCATTCTTCACAAAAGACAAAACCATCATGAATAATCCGTATAAATAGAAATAAACAGAGAATAGATATGATAAATGATAAGGGAACTTCCCATATAAATACGCGAGTGTGTTTGTTATTGTAACCGTTGGTTGCATTACATAAGCAGAACACTTCAAATTTTAAACTCACTTCAAATCATTGTAAATCAAACGCAACAATTTTGGGTGCAGTATTATCAGTGCAGACAACTTATCTATGTTAAACTAATGAAAATGTATTTATTCATATATTGTGTAAACAAAAGAATCACGAACACCTATAATAATTGACTTAAAAGTGGCAATGTTTATATAGGTTCCAATGTACAGGCTTTGTCCTACTTGTTACAAGTTAGTGTTTAGGTTAGTTAAGAATTTCTCCATCGTTTAAAATATGTATGATATCTTTTAAAAAAAGTCGAAGTGTAATGAACAAATGCAAATATTGTAAAACTCTTTGTGACTTGTAAAGCATGTATCCACTTTCATTTTCATATATCAAAGGCAAGTACAATAGTAAAATCAAACAAAGACCACAATATATCAAACAGGATTTTATTGTCTAATAATCCCGTAATAGGTACTATACCATGAAGTAAAGGTTTTCACTAAAATACAAAATAAAGATATAAATGCAAGAAATGTAATAATAAATTTTTTATGAATAATTACAGTAAAGAAGTAAAGAACAGTTAGCAATCTTACTAATCAATAACGTAATATAAGTATGGCTTTTGTAAAACAATTCTATAACTTTCATTATGAATTACAGAAAATTAATCCAAAGTGTTTTAAGGAAATGAAAGAGAATTTGGGGAAATATTGTGAATTTGGAAAATGTACAATCTTTAGATAACATTTATTATAATATTTTGAAAATGTATCAGTAAAGACTATACCTACTTTACTAGAACAATTCCAGCTTACAAAAAGAAATTTCATTTTGGTATCTTTCATGAAAAGGAATCTGCACACTTCATAAAATTTGTAGTAGACTGTTTTGACAACAATGTAAATAAACAATTAAGTATGTTATTATGTTACGTTATCTTTACTTTTACTGATAAGATTTTTATTACCTCCTTTTTACTTTGTAAATGACGAAATGTTGTTTATAGCTATATAAACGCACGTCAGCATCGAATTATAACACATAAATATAAACATTGGCATTTGTTATCTCCAGACTGACAATGTAGCCAATGTTTTTAAAACTTTGAATTGACCTCTTTAATGTAAAAACTGAGATGTGATATCCTCAGGTTTTATTGAAGTATCATTTACAACCGCCTGTTGTTTGTTGGCCTTCCTCCAATGCAATGACTTCTGCAAAATAAGAATGTTGTTTTAAATTATTCAAAACTTGGACTTTAGCAATAAGTAGCATCTCAATCACATATTACCTACCCACTGAGATGGTAGTAGTCTCATCAAAGACATTGTTTATAAAGCATAATTGCACTTGAAGGATGCGTTCACAAGCTACGATAGTCGTTTAAATTCTGCAAATTAAAGTACACACAGTCTTATTTAGCAATCCGTTTACTTATCACATGGTGAAATGGCAAAATGAGTGAAATTCTTAACTATTCATTGTTGATAAAATGCTAGTAGACCGGTGATTTAAATGTCTTATAAATATATTAACGTTTAATATGACATAGCAACCTTTCACATGTGGAATTTTAGCTTTTGACAAGGCGGCATGTAAACTAGCAACCTTATTTACCAGATTGGCTCCCTTTCAGGTCTTGTACGACTTGAAAAGACAATTTGCTTTTTTAGGGACCGGTAAAATTGTTACAAAAATATACAAGTCATTTTTCGATACATAAAAGTTTGTAGAGAAGGAATAATTTTGATAAAAATTGGGAATCTTTTAGATACATTCTTTAAATATACTTTCTTCAAAAGGGGTTTAAGAACGTAATATACATATACCATTTCTAATCTTTACAACGACTTTTCTTCATTTTTAAAACCATCCTTCCTTGTAGTTTGGCGGTCGCCTTTTATCTGCAATATACAAACAAGTAGAGATTTTGATGCTAAAGCATCAAGTCGCCGGATAGAAATATGATTGTATTATCATAAATTAAAGAAAATATCAGTTTAATGGTTCGAGTATAAAGAAAAGAGGAACAATAAGTTGAGTAAAATTTATTCATAAACACGTTTTCATTTACTTGCCACAATTATATATTTCTTGCTGAGAGTTTTATGCAATAAATTTATGCTATGTTATAATAAAACATCATTTTTGAAGCAAACTTGCTTAGCAATTTTGTCAAGAAACTGTTATCATTATTTAATAAGCTAGTATTGTTTGACAATATTTACTCGAGACTCAATAATTTTCGGGAGCTGTTTCGTTTGCTTACATAACTTTTTATGATTAATGTTAACGATTTTATTGTAAGTATAATTACATGTATAATTATATCAATTGATACTGCTCGATGGCCTTGTGGTAAGTATGACGAAGTTGTAACCTACATGTACATGTAGTAGGCGCAAGTTCGAATCTCGGACAAATCCTGTAGTTTTCATAAATTGAATTTTATAATATCTTTTAACTTTATGAAACATAAGTTGATAAATCGTGTGTTTCATTTCTAGCACTTTTTTATTTCATAATTTTGATAAACGGTCAAGTTTTGCAAAATACAAAAAGTATTATAAAGAAAAACATAAAAAATCAATTTAATCAGGTACGTATATTAACGTACCTGATTTTAATGAACCTATACAGTCTTCAATTTGAAACTAACTTAAAATCTAACACCTTGTCATCGAGGCTTGTAAAGCAAATGATATGATTATAATTCTACTTGTAATTCTACTTTATACATATACCGTTGTACCATACATTTGAATTCCGTATGGTTTTCTTCAGCATCCGATAATTACCGACAAATTATTACCGATCATCGAATATTTGCAAAGTGACTATGAAAATATATATGCTTAATTATTGCATAAAACAATGCAATTCTACTGTAAAAGTGGTGTCTGCATAAAAAAATTATTATTATGCACTATCGAAAAAAATATATTATTTGGCTGAAATGAATATTCCTGTCGTTACATACGATATAGTTAACGTTTAATTGCCTTTCAGTGGGATAAACTATCAACACAAAGATGGTTTATTTGTTTTCTGTTTGTATCCAATACGAATCCGGCCCCTACTGTTATACCGAGATTTTTCATACAAAATTACTTTGATTTGCACTTTATCAGCTAGTTACCTGTGTGTCTATCTTATCAGCCATTTGTTACTATTAATAGTTTTTATAACAATAACATACAACGTGTAGTCACGTGATTCTGGGAGAAACTGTTTATAATAAATAAGATAAAAAAATAGAATAGGCCTCAAAAGATACAAACAACCAGATAATTTAAAAGTGTCATTTTAAATATCATGCATGATTATTCATAAAATAGCAACGCTTGACACTTTAAAAAAGTAAAAGCATCCCTAAATTCAATGACTGGTCCATAGGGATACGTCGTTAATTCATTTTATAAAAATTGTAATGTTGCTTTTTACGATGTCAATATTTGAATATTTCATTTCATTGAGCAACGTTATTGTATGTTTGAATTTTTGAGATTACTGAAAACAATTGTAGTCTTTAATTGTTCAGTAATTATTATGCTTTTATTTACAGAAAGTAATGCCTTCTCCTACCATAGGTATAATATTAAACTGTTACAAATATAGTCGCCGGTTTCTACCGGCGACTAATCAAAGCAAAATACACAAAGTCGAATCAAGGAAAAAGATCGCTTAGATAAACGGAAGTGAAAAAGATGTAAAGTACTTGTGATTCAGAAAATAAATTCCTTTTCTACTATTCAATTCAATACACCCTTGATTAAGATGTTTTAGGCCACCAGACCATGCACCAACAATGTTCAACACTCATGATTAATAATAATAATCTTTATTCACAAAAGGTTACAAACCCATGAGTGTCATGGTATACAATCAATAATTTTATATTAAATATAGGTCAATGGTGACATATAACAATGACATATAATAGTCTCTAACAGACATGTAATATTTTAGTTTAAGGTACACATTTTATGTAACAATTCTTAATAGAATTAATTGTGTTGCATGCACAAAGCTTTTAAACACTAAAAATAAAAAATAAATAAGATAAATTGCATTATGTTCTAACCGGAAGGAACTTAATATTAAAAATATATAGAGGATATTTGTTTGTTTCAGTGTAAGATCGAAAAATATTTCACCGAGTGAACACCAGATGCAATATTTTCCACGAGTGGCGTAGCCACGAGTGAAAATATAATAGCTGGGGTTCACGAGTGAAATATTATTTGATCTTACATGTAAAACAAACAAATTTTCTGTTTATTTCATGATTTTTTAACGATTTTTACACCATTTTACTGATTTTTGCCGCGTAACGTCATGCTCTTATCTTCACGACGTCATCAAATAATGACGTCACAATGTTGAAGCAAAATATAATTCCATGATTATTTTTAGATTTTAGATGTTTTTCAGCACAACGTTCGTAAATATTTACGAACTACAGTTATCACGTACATTTTTTATTATGATTGACTACATTTCCGCTGAAAAAAACATTCATTAATGATAAATATTTTATTTTTACGCCAAATATAGTTCGGCTACTGTGAAATTATATTTGGTATTCATTACTGTGAAATTATCAGAATATAATTAACCGTTATAATTCAGTAATCTCTTGCAAAACATGTAATAAATATATATATATCGTGATCTTTATTTTTTTAAGATGTTGAACTTTATCGTAACATAATTTTTTCATTCTGACGCTTCGAAATTTGTGAAGTTAGCAGCCTAGCAGGATAGTACAAACATGAAAATCGTCGGAAATGAATCGGTAGCAAATAATTAGACCATTCCACGTGTTATTTTAGTATCGCGTACTTTATTTTTTTAAATAATTAACTTTTTCTTTATTTTTACACTTCGAATTTTGTGAAGTTAGCAGCCTAGCAGCCTGGCAGCCTAGCAGCC